TCTAGTTATATGAAGACATCAAAAATGAAGTACTTAAAAACCTAGTTAAAACATAAGGGAATATGAAAACAGATTGAGTTGAAGAAGAAAAAGATAACTACAGATGAGAAGATAATTTTAAGATTATAAAGTAAGAGGATACTCTAAGCTCAACTAAATGTATGGCAACAAATTTGAAAGCTTAGAAGAAACAGGTAATTTTCCAGCAAAAGAAAAAGGATAAAAATTGATCAAAAAAGAGTTGAATAGGTTGATTACCACAGAAGACACTGGAAAATATAATTAAGGGCCTACCCACTAAAAAAGGCATCATGACCAGATGGGCTTCACAGCTGAGTTTTATCTGACTTTTAAAGAACACATCATTTCTCAGGGTAATTAAAATATTCCATGCCAGAGAAACAGAAGGAATATCCTGCAGTACATTTCACATAGTCACCACAACTTTAATCCTTAAACCTGATGAAAACAGTATTTTAAAAAATGATTCCTATCTCACTAGTGAAACAAGGTTGTAAACAAAATACTGACAAAATAAATTAATCAATCAAAACAACATTATAGCTTGATTGGCATCCTTATTTTGGTAACGTTAAGAGTATTTTAAAACCATAAGATTCATAAACATAATTTTTCAGCAACAAAAATGTAAATAAAAAACATTTGATCCTTGGATATTGAAAAAAACATTTGATAAAATACTGCAAAACATTCCCCCTTTAAAAATCTTTAAGTGAATACAGATTTAAATATAACAGATTATTTACCCAACACCAACGGCAAGTGTGGAGGAACACAGAAAACATTCTCATTTCAAATCAGGTTTAGGCAGAGAAGCCCACCAGCATCATATTTACTTAACCCTGTCTTTGAGTTTCTAGCAAATGCAACAAGACAATGAGGTGACCACTAGAAAGAGACAAACCTAAATAAAATTTTACAGAACTAATGAGAGAATTTGGTAAGATAGATACAAGATAAATATCTGAAAAATCAATACCACTTTTCTATTTCTAGCAAGAATCATTTAGGAATGGAAACAGGAAAATAGTCCAGTAATAGCAGCGACAAAAATGTTAGTTCTTGAGAAACAAATGCACCATGAGAAGCATGGGCTAGAGAGGAAGAAAAGGATACATCTAACGGGAATATGTAAAAGAAGATCTGCACAGGAAAGAAAACACAATTTCTTAGGTAAAAAGAAAATTAAAATAAAAACCACATGTAATTCTAATGAGAATTTCAGTAGGGTTCGGGTGAAGAGCAAGTAAAATGATCTTAAAATGTGCATTTAGGAGAATGTGCCAAAGAACAGCCAAGAGAATTTTTAAAACACTAATGTAATCAAAATCAGTATGATTTTGGTACACAAAAATAGATGACACAGAATTGAGAATCCATGAATAGATCCTAATATATAAAACATCTGACAGCTGACAAAGATGCTACTCCACTGACCGTGGAAAAAGTAGGTATTATTTAATATATTATTCTAGTCCAATTGGCCATCCATCTTTAAGAAAACAAACTTAATCTGCAAGGAAGAATGCATATTTGGATATTTAAAATAACAATTATATGGATATATATCAACAACAGAATCAACGCCTGAGACCAACGTTCAGCTACTTCTTGCAACACTGGCAATTCCATATCAGAGTGCTGGTTTGAGCCCCAGCTGCTCCCTGCTGACGGAGCTCCCTGAAAATGCACCTGGGAAAACAGCAGATGGCCCAAGTGTTTGGTCTCTGTACCCATGTGGGAGACCAGAAGAAGCTCCTAACTCCTGGCCCCTGGCTTCAAATAGGCCCAACTCGAGCCATTGTGACCCCTCTCTCTCTCATTCTCTCTCTGTCACTCTGCCTTTCAAATCAATAAATAACTCTTTAAAAAAATCAATGTGGGGGCCAGTGCTGTGGCATAGTGTGCAAAGCTGCTGCCTGCAGTGCCAGCATCCCATATGGGCGCAGGTTCAAGTCCTGGTTGCTCCACTTCCGATCCAGCTCTCTGCTACAGCCTGAGAAAGCAGTGGAATATGGCCCAAGTCATTGGGCCCCTGCACTCGTATGGGAAACCCATAAGAAGTTCCTGGCTCCTGGCTTCAGATCAGCCCAGTTCCAGCTGTTGCGGCCATCTAGGGAGTAAACCAGTGGATGGAAGACCCCTTATCTCTCTCTGCCTCTGTAACTTTATCTTTCAAATAAATAAATAAATAAATATCTTTTAAAAATCAATGCAGGGACCAGTGTTGCAGTGTTGTGGGTAAAGCTGCCACCTGTGACACTGGCTTCCCATATGGGTACCTGGGGGTTGAACCAGTGGATGGCAGCTCTCTCTCTGTCTCTCTCTCTAACTCTTTCAAATAAAATAAAATAAATCTTTTAAAAAAAGTCTACAAATTTGGGAAAGATATCTGCAACAAAGATGATAGGCAAAGGGACAATATCTAAAACACGCAACAAAGATGATAGGTAAAGAGGTATTATAAATTACAAATAGTGCAAACAAATCATAGAAAAATGAGAAGAGGATTATGAATAGATAATTCAAAATAAATAAATTTAATTGGAAAAAATGAGATAATACTGAAATTCACTAATAGCCAAGTAACTACATTCATTAGGTTGTCAAATTGTAAAAGAATTATAATACCTACTGCTGGGAGGAATATGAAGAGAAAATAATCTCATATATTACATGCAAAAGTGAAATAACAACCTCTTTTTTTCTTTTTTTTTAATTAATTTATTTATTTGAAAGGCAGAGTTAGAGAGGCAGAAGCAGAGAGAGAGAGAGGTCTTCCATGCACTGGTTCACTCCCCAAATGGCCACAATGGCTGGAGCTGTGCTAATCCGAAGCCAGGAGCCAGGAGCTTCCTCCAGATCTCCCACGTGAGTGCATGGGCCCAAGGACTTGGGCCATTTTCTACTGCTTTCCCAGGTCATAGCAGAGAGCTGGATCAGAAATGGAGCAGCTGGGACTCGAACCAGCGCCCATATGGGATGCCAGCACTGTAGCCCACTGCGCCACAGTGCCAGTCCCTAATAGCTTCTTCCTGTAAATCAGTTCAGTAACATCTGCTAACATAAATATATATTTAAAGATTCATATATATCTATCTACAGCTATCCATCAAATTATCTATTTATACATCACTATCTTTACATCTTTATATTTACATAAATTTATTAAATTGAAAGCAACAGTGTATAAAGGCATATGCACAATGATGTTTACTTCAGCACTGACTGCAGCAGAAATCTGAAAAGGAAGTAAATGTTCATTAATACGGGAAAGCATGAATAAGTTATTTTGCATCCATGAAATATTTTGCAGAATAAGAGCTATACCAATAGGTCTTGATAAATTTCCACAAGATATTTTGAGTGTAAAAAAGCAAGATATAATAAAGTATATATGACTATATTTTTGTAAAAAAAAAGTGAGCAAAACATTCCAAAATCATGTGTGTGTGTGTGTTTAAGCATGAACCTATACAAACAGAAAAAAAAAATAGAATTTGGAAGGTTTACAACCTGGTTGAGTTATATGCATGGATGGTATAGAAAGTTAGGGCTAGGAGCCAAACAAGAAAAGAAAAAAACAAAAACAAAGGAGCAGTATTAAAAAATCCAGAGAAAGGAAAAAAGACAAAAAATAAACTAAGCCATCGTATTTATATAATTATACCTGTGTATAAGCATATAAATGAATAAAATTTAGAGAAGATACAGTAAAAACCTCAATATATAATAAGATATCTCTTTATTAAAAAAGGAAAGGCAATAACCAAAATTATCTCTTGGGGTAGTATGAAAGGTGATGTTTATTTTCTGCTTTATGTGTCTATTTTCTATAATGCAAATTGCTACTTTTATAATAATGAAATAGAACCAATAAATGTTACTTTAAAAACATTAAACTGAATGATTGAGCTCATTTTGGAAAATCAAGGGAGGTAAATAGGGTTAAATACCCCTTTCCCTTAGGAGCTGTCCAAGTAAGAAACATGAAATCAGGATCTATTGCCCCTTAGCCAGCGCAGTTACTCACCTAAGGCAAGAGACTAAGTGGCTATTTCACAGAGCTATTTGAAGCAGCAAATGGAAGATCCGCTCCCTCCCTTTCCTAACACTTTAATGAATTAAGTAAATCAGAAAGCCATTTACACCACTCTCAATTATCCAAGGATCTGCTGGGCTCTTTACTTCCTGCTCCCTCCCTCTGGCTTGCGGCCATTTCACGGCTCAGAAACAGTTCTAAAATGGGGGCCAGGGAAAGGGGAAAGAGATGGAATTAATTCAGTCGATTCAGCCTCTCATTAGCAACTCCAATAAAAGGTTTGATAAGTGAGATGGTCACAACTCATGGTTCAAATGAGGGTTCTGGGACTCATGATAATTTCATTTAAGTAAACTTGCCTTCAGAGAAGCACGATTTGCTTGCTGTACACTTTAATGGATTTGAAGCTTGCTATTTTTAAGAAAGTCAGAACTTGTAAGAAGGTGATATTTTTCTCTCCTCACTTTAATTTGCACTTGGAGAAAAAACTCATAAAAACACAAGCACCACACCCTTCAGTGTGGAGAACTGAATCCTCAGTGGAACAGCAGGATCCCAGTGCAAAGTCTGTGGAGAGGAGGGAAGCTGCCTCTCACTGACATGCTCTCTCGAGAGATGCTAGGAGGGAGCATGTTAGGAGGGAGATGTTAGGAGGGAGCTCCTGTGCAAGGGAGCATGCCCTGGCCATGCAATCACCACCAGCGTGATGACTGGCCCAACAGCATTTGTCACAGCTTGACAACGTCACTGTTTCACTGGGTATCTCATAGACTTCTGTCCCTAGGGGAAACCCAGAGACAAAGCAGTATAAGCCCAAGATGCTTATTTCATATCAATGTGCTTATCATCATGTTATCAAACTGACAAAAACAGTGTCAATAAATAACACCGGCAATAGGAGAACAAAGATCAAAACAAAAAAGCAATTTTCTCTTACTTGAAGACAACGATAGCTCCGGGACATGGAGGACAGGCCAAAAGAAAGATCTGCAATTGAAGAAGAAATAAGAATGGTTAGCAAGAGAAATGCTGGACATAGACTACATTATGTGAACAACAACAACAACAACAACAACAACAAAATAACCAGAACTCTAGCACAACTGTAATATAAAACATTAGAGGCAAGCAAGTGGTTTTCCAAAGTACATGTTTGTTTTTGCACATGCATGCATGCATGTGTGTCTATGTGTGCGTGTGTGAGACAAAGAGACAGAAACAGAGACAAAGAGAGAATGACAACACTCAATTTTCCAACGCTTCAGCTTCAGTAAGACACAAGTAGCCAGTCTTAGAAGCTTTGAACCCAGGGCAGGTAAAAACAGATTCTGAGCGTAGAACATGCACACACACATGCCATCTGGTTTGCCTCCCATGGGGGAAGGTGGCTTAATCAATACCCAGCATTGCCAAATTTAGCAAATAAAAACACAGGATGCCAGCTAAATTCAAATTCCAGATAAAAATGAAATATGCTTTAGTATACATACATCCTAGGTATCATATGAAACATACTTACACTAAAACAGCATTCATTTTCTGAAAATCGAATTTAACTGGGCATCCTATATTTTATCTGGCAACCCTACCAAACTGCCACTCCCAGGCTCCAAACGTTCCCTTAGAGTCTTGTTTGTAAGCATGCCTAGGTGGTCTTACTCTTCCATTCTCCTCCCAGGTCAAATGAAACAAAAGATCCTTGTCCTTCTAAGAGACAAATCACTTCCTTGCTATTTGATGTGACCTAGATCTGGGTTACAGCCTTGAACAGCTGCAGCAGTGGCAGTGTGCCCTTTATCCGTGTAGTGGTTCTCAACCATCCATCCAGAAAAATCCCAGGCAAAGCTTGTTAAACATACAAATTCCTGGGTTCCCTCATTAAGAATTCTGATTTCACAAGTCTGGGACATGAGGAATCTGCATGTTTAACAAATGCCCGAGAGATTCAAACACTCCTGGCGGCTTATCGGCTGAATGGTTGACCATGGGCTGAACTACTACAGGGGTCAAAGACATTCAGCAGAACTAAGAATTGACCAAAGAATGAAACTTCCATGTAGAGTTTCTTTACCTACAGTGATTTAATAACATGTGTCCCTATCTTGTTGAGAGCTCTGATGAATACAGACCATCTGCATTGGGGACTTGTTGGCTTTGTCATGTGTGTGCTCTTTAGCATTTTGCTTCTCAATCCTCTCAGAGTCTATAATTATAAGAAAAGTGTACTGTATGGAAAATCACTAAGAAAAGATGCTTGCTTGAAACTTTGCCAAGAGGAGAAGAAAGAAGAATGGAAAAGAGAAAGGACCTTAGAAAGAACAGGGCCAGGAATCCATCACCTGCACGATACCTCATCAAAGAACCTCTCCAAGGAAGCTCCATCAAGAACGTGCCTTTTCCCCTGTGGATCAATTTGATTAAAAGCACAGAGCCAATGAAAATGACAGGTCCACAAGCCTTTACTGACAGCTCTCATACCCAAAAAGTTCTAAAAACTAAACGTTTGGTATTTTTTTTTTCAAAGCTAAACTGGTAGCAAAACATAACTGCAACTGAAGTGGATCTATTTACACTTTATTCCACATAAGTGAATATTTATACATTTTTCATAAAAATAATAATGCATCCGATGGCAGAGTGCTACTCTAGCCTCCACTGGAAGTATATGGAAAACATTTGACATGCAAAAAAAATCAAATTTCTTTAACAGTTCTGACCTTAGTGGTTTTTGATAAGGATTGCAGACCTGGAATTTCAATTATCCAAACATTAATATATCCCCACTCCCCACCACACCCCTCAGGAGCAGTCCAAGAAAGAAAGAAAGCAAGCTGGCATTCTTTACCCCGATCCATCAGCAAAGTTACTCACCTTAGGCATAGGACCAAGTTGGAGGCTGCACACATTACCCAGCAGCAGGCCCATCAAATGCTACACTCAGAAGCTACAGTACATAGGAAGGACACAGGGGCCCCCGGCCACCTCAGGAAGTTCTGCAGTAACGCTGTAGTCAACAAAGTATCACGCCAGAAGCCTTCCTGAGTTTCTGGAATACCCAAGATACTTTCAACATGCTAAATAGAGAAGTAAAAATGTAGCATTGAACCCCAAAGCTAACTCTTACTTTTCTATATCCACAGACAAAATAAGCAGATTCTTGAAGACTGATGTCCCTATAACTCCATATAGCTGGTTCTTATTTTCCCTATACCAGAAGCCCAAGAACCTACTAAAGGGAACAACCAAGTTCACTGTCATTATCCTCCATCAGTCATAGATGGAACTTCTTCTGAGGTAGCTAATCCAGTCTTGATTCTAAATGAGTTTTGCAAGTTACTTTCACATGGTCAAGTCATTCAGCTCAGCACATTGGTCTTCCTCATCTTGCCTACTGATTCCCATTACCAGGATAGAGAATATTTTTTCCAAGCCATCTTCAAACTAGATACAAGTAGAACAGATTTGAAAAAGGACTCCAAATTCATCAGATTCCATTTCCAGTAAATTCATGGCCTCCTTTAACAACCTCATTGATTCATGACATTGAACCTCTCCACTCTGTCTTGCTAGAGTCACCATTAGCCAGTGGAGCCTTGTGAAAATAACACTTCCACTCAGAGGCCCAAAGGCCCCCAGCCTTGTTCTGGCGATCCCTGCTTTCCTCCTTGGTTGGCTTCCAAGCACCTCAAAATTTTGGTAATATTGTCTTAGACTAGCAGGCAGAAAGCTAAACTACCACTTCAGCTAAAAGAGAGTGAGAATAGGGGATACTCAGAAGTGCCAACAAGCAAGGTAGGAAGATTAAGATGGTATGGTGGGGCCAGTGTTGGGGTGTAGTAGGTTAAGCCTCTGCCTGCAACACCAGCATCCCATATGGGTGCCAGTTTATGTACCGGCTGCCCCCCTTCTGATCCAATTCCCTGCTAGTGCACCTGGGAAAGCAGTGGAAGATGGACCAAGTGTTTGGGGCCCTGCACCCACGTGGGACACCCAGAGATGAAACATCTAGTTCCTGACTGCTGGCTTTGGCCTGGCCCAGCCCTGGCAGTTCCCACCATCTGGGGAGTGAATCAGCAAATGGAAGATCTCCCTCTCTATAACTCTGACTTTAAAATAAATAAATAAATAAATCTTAAGGGGAAAAAAAGGATGGCATGGTAAGAAGATGACATTGCATCCCAGCACATCCCAGAACAAATCTGGTGCTTGACACTCATACAGAAATCTTCCCAGCCCAGCACCTGAAGTAAAGGGCATAGACAGCTTCCACTTTTTCATCACCCAGGATGTAGGTAGGGCATGTTATTATAGCCCCATTTTACAGATGAAGAAACCAAGGCCAAAAGGTTCTGAAAGGGCCAGCACTGTGGCATAGTGAGTAAAGCCTCCACCTGCAGTGCCAGCAGCCCATGTGGGCACCAGTTTGAGTCCTGGCTGCTCCTCTTCTGATCCAGCTCTCTGCTGTGGCCTGGGAAAGCAGTAGAAGATGGCCCAAGCCCTTGGGCCCCTGTACCCGCGTGGGAGACCCAGAAGAAGCTCCTGCTCCTGGCTTTGGATCAGCTCAGCTCTGGACATTGTGGCCATCTGGGGAGTGAACCAACAGATGAAAGACCTCTCTCTCTCTGCCTCTCTGTAACTCTTTCAAATAAATAAATAAATCTTTATAAAAAAATTTTCCAAAAAGTTTTCTGATGAAATCCCAGGTCCCCTAACTGCTAGATAAATGGAGTTTCTACCCCAAGCAGCCATGGATAAGGCCTTATGGGGGCTTCTCTCTCCATATGCTAACCCTTCCCTAGACCACACAGGTACACAGGGAGTCATCTCAATGGTCCCACACCTGGGCCACCAGATGGCTCACAAGAACTATTCTCTACAATGTGAGACATCTTAAAAAACAAACCCAAAAGGGCAGCAAATAACATTTACATAGATGAATTTCAGAACCCAAATTCCCCAATGATGGGCTTATTTTGCTCCAAACTGTCTCACGTTCAGCTCCAGTGGGCATTTGTAACCCTTAAATCTTTACAAAACTCGGGATTCTGTGTGGGCGCTGTGGTGCGGCGGGTGAACCTACTACTTGGGATGTCCATATCCTGTATGCAAATGCCAGTTCGATTCTCAGTTATTCCACTTCCAATCCAGCAAAGTACTTGGGCTCTTGTCACTCACATGGGAGACTCAGATGCATTCAGCTCCAGGTCCCTGGCTTCAGCCTGGCCCAGTCCTGGCTCTTACAGGCATTTGTGGAATGCATCAAGCCTTAATACCCCTCTCCCTCTCTCTCTTTCTCTCTCTCTCTCTCTGCCTTTCAAATACATAAATCTTGAAAAAAAAAACAAAAAACTCTGAAATCTTTTTTTAGTATGTTTATTGGCCAGCCATATTTCTTCTTTTATTATGTGACCATCTGTGCACAATATCTATTTTTCAACTTGTGTGTTCTTTTTTCTTTATTGAGTTGTAAGACCTATTTATAGATTAGTAACATTTAATACAGACTGATATTTATCACAAATATTTTTCCAAGGTTGTCACTGTTGTAGTTTGTTGATGTACATAGCTTTAATCTTTATGTAATTATATATGCTAGTGATTTCTTTTATCTGTTTTGTCTTTAATATCAAACTGAACATTTTTTACAACCCTGAGATTATAGTCACCCACTGTTTTCCTACTATTTTCATAATTCTAACATTTAAATTCTCAACACTAAGAAACTGTGCCACTGCTTATCCTATTCAAGCTTCCAGAATGGTCTTTCTCCCTTTCTTCGGTAGCTCTTATTTATCCTTTAGAAGCTAAATCAGGTGTTATTTTCTCCAAGGAACCTGCACTACACTCTAAGGCTGAATGACCATCTTCAGTCCTCCCAAAATTCTCAGTTTACTTCTTTCTGGGAATTTATTATTTTGTCAGGCTAGGAAGATTACAGAGAAACTTTCCTCAAGAATATAAGTCTGCCAGGGCCGGCGCTGTCGCAT